CATGAAATTTTATGATGGTTTTTACATCGCTATTATTATTGGATTTTCCACCTTTGTTCGACATCCAACTTGACGTCGTTACCAGCGACCATTCTTTTATTATTCCTGTAGTTTCTTATTAAGCCATTTTTTACAAATAAATAAATACAGGTTATGGAACTTACTGCGGAGCGGGAGATTAGCCAGCGTCAAGCCGACAGGCGGGAGGCACGAATGATTGATTTAACCGAGAAGATCTCACTTGGCGAGGCCAGAGAGCGTGATCTTCGGGATAAAATTAAACGCGCCGAGAGGACCTGTTCCGATATCGAGGCCAAGGTGATCACTTTTTTCTGCTATTCTCATCATGTTCACTTTACTTCAAATATTCACTATTAATGGAGTGCAAATAATAGTCTATTCAAATCATATTCTTCGTGCATATTTCATTGGCGTCGTTTTCATTTATTGTATGGATTAAAGAAGAAGCGATTCGAAGATCATTTTTGCTGAGGAATAACTAATTGGCAATCTTCTGCTGATGTGCAAATACTTCTTTGGACCTTAATTTTTAATGTACAGTGAGCAAGCCTAAATTGTTATACTTACACCAGTTAGTCTCGTTACGTGAACCCTTACCTATTTCCTGCCAGTATCTCTTTTTCCACACTAGCCACTCATGAACTCTTCCCGTTCTTAATCATGCATTCCGGGTGCCACATCCCTATTAGCCCTACATCAGCCCAATTTTAAACCTAATCTACTCCACGCCCTCGTATAAAGCCGGTTCTAGCGTCCTGCATCAATTATAAGGCGAATTTCACACCTCATAAAGTAATTAGTGGGAATAACTCGTCGCTTAATCGATTTCTCCATGCCACCACTTTTGCGACGTTTGATATCTGCCTATGCACAACACACTAAGGAGAATAGGAACAAGAAAAATATATCACCTCCTTTGCAACATACCATATCATAGAGCTATTGAGTTTTATCCAGAACTTACTTATTATTCATGAAAGACAGGAGTTTCGGATCTGTCTTAGCTTTATTGGCCCTTATAGTTTAATGTGAACCTGGAACCTGAAAATGTATAATTATTCACAAGCTCCAAATCACAAATGTCATTGGAGCAATTTAGCTACAGAGTAGGCATGGCTAGAGTATATGACTCCTACATCAATTTACGAATACGTATGTGGAGAAAAATTTCTTATTATTTGCTTGCAAACGATAAAATTATTATTTTGAACCATTTTCTCTCGGTGGGGGGTATTTAATTTTATTTTCGTCTTTCATAGCGCAAGGCGGATGGAGTGATGTGGCGTATTCGCTTGATGGAGCTAAGTGCTCAACTTGCGGAGTCACGTCAACGATCCGCCCTTATTGAATGTCGCTACGAAGCCTTAATCGCTTCTCGTCGTCTTCACACTACAGCGGTTGTTGGTACTAGCACCGATGCTCGGGTTGATGCGGAAGCATTTCTCACAAATCCTTTCAGAGTGAAATCGCCAAGCCCCTCATCGTCGTTTCCTTCTGACATCGGTGAGCGCGCTGACCTGCAGAAAACTGTCGGTAATAATTAATTGCCGTTTTTTATCCTGTTTAGGCGATTATCCTCGAGGGCTATTTGGAATGGCTTTTAATTTATGTATTCTGCTTCTTTTTAAAAGTACCATCACAATGTAGAAAAACTGGGTTTCGGAGAACCCTTTAATATAGTGATCTTTGAGTGCCTTTCCTTTCGTTTGAAGAAGTGAGTTAAAGTTGGTTCCACCGAAAGCTGTGGGTGGGATTGCCTTGGAGCTGTGGTCTTAGCTTTGCACAAATAGGTCCTCGGAGCATCGCCCTGCGGCCCCGATGAATCCTTGCTGAGCTTCCGTCCGTCATGTGACGGACATCGTCAGAGCAGGACACCATGCTTAGCGATAATTCACCAAAAACACGAGGACAAGAAAGGTGGACGACTTCAAACCTGCTTCCTTCTTATAGCCCAATTTGGTCCACTTTTGCATCTCATGTTTTGGTTGGGTGTCCTATGCTTTGCCTCCATATTTGTCCATAAGTTGAGTTAAGTGGCTGCGGATGACATGTGAAGTGGCTACAGATGAAACGTAAAATGGGTACAATTGAAAGCGAACAGCTGCATCCTCCTGATCTTGCAATGTTATCGCATGTGATTGCGTCCCATTGCACACGTGCAGTGTGAGTGCATTACTCTTGAAATAAGTATGTGAGAGTTAAAACAAAAATTCCAGCCTAATCAAGTTTCATCCTTGCTCGGTGCTACTTCTCGTTCCCTCTTTCTCTCTCTCTCTAAACATATCCAACAGCCACAATTAGTTTCCGCTTAGCTTCCTACACTCATTCCTTCTATTCGTGGGGCTGGCTGTTTCGCGGCTTTCTATCGCTAGCATC